GACTCTATGACTCTATGACTCTATGACTGAATGACTGACTGAACGACTGAATGACTGAATGACTGAATGACTCTATGACTCTATGACTCAATATCTCAATGACTCTATGACTGAATGACTTTATGACTCAATGACTCAATGACTGAATGAATCTATGACTCTATGACTCTATGACTGAACGACTGAATGACTCAATGACTCAATGACTCTATGACTCTATGACTGAATGACTGAATGACTCTATGACTGATGCTCGTACGGTGACTCGGAAGGCCTGTGGCCACGGCTAAAATGAGTCAATGAGTCATTGAGTCATTGAGTCAATGACTCTATGACTCTATGACTGAATGACTGAATGACTGAATGACTCAATGACTCTATGACTGATGCTCGTACGGTGACTCGGAAGGCCTGTGGCCTCGGCTAAGTGAATGAAACTTCTTCTCGTTGAAAAATTGGTGCCTATGAAGGATACCTGAGTACCTCCTATACAAGTGCCCCTGCTGGGAACGATTTGCAAAAAGCTTGGTGTGAGTGAACAAAACATCTGTTTTCCTATTGTTGTTACTTTTACTTGATTCTCACAGACTTCTAGACAACATATGCAGTTCTGGCTGCTTCCGCACCGAAAACGTGTAGAATTCTCTACCAACATACCTTCTGCCAATCTTCGTCAAAGATACAGATATTTCTACATATGTATCCTTGAAGCGGTGAAGTGCAGCCGAGACTTGAGACACGAGTCTTATGCATGAGAGCTCTCGGTCCAATCTTGATTTTTGTTGTTTACAAGTAACTTATTGCCCACGAACTCCTTCCACTTTTTTGTGACCTGCAAGTCTCATCATGACTTCAAGAAACAAGTCAACTCATAGGTATAAGACCTTGTCTGAAGTCTCCGCAATGCACCATTTCCAATACCGAAAATCAATTCCCTTGTGAAGCATGAAATACTCTACCCTTGCAGTGAGCTGTGCTTGAGATACTGTGAGCATCACTGGTTTGCCAGCATATTTCTGCTGAATATAGGCTTCTTCATCGCATTCTCCGCTTCCGTCATATTTGAAGCAAACGAGATAACAGATGCTGCGCTTTCGCTCTCCAGAAAAATAGAATCACCTGCAAATGCATGTGATCCCCATCACTATTCTGGGGCCAAGGCACTGAATTTTCAAACATCATTTCCAGATTGTTACCGACTGAAGAACGTCCTTCTTGATACCTTCAATAACTCCAAAATACGGATATTCTCCCAGCTCTTCCTTGTTCACATCTGAACTTTCTACACCAGATGTCGACTCAACTTGTTCATCTTTCTCTCTGGGAAGGCTGCCATCAATCAATCATCATATCAACACATGTGAGTTTATTAGAAAGATCCTTTACTCAAAGATAGAATGTTCTTCGGCCGCAGTGGTCTCTTTCTACTTTCTGCTTCCGAACTCTTCTTTGGGCTTGCTCAGCCTCATTCAGAAGAGTTGCCTTTCCTCACCTTGGCCTTCGGTTCCTTCCTCGCCTTCGTCGAGACTTGTTGCGGAGAACAGCTACTGAAGGAGAGGAAGAATGATGGCCAGACATGTGCGCTTGCTGCAAGCAACAGAGACACCTGGAGGTGTTGAAGCATCTTGACGATAGATGTGGGAGGGAGCTGTTCAGAGTGACGAGCAATGATGGCTAAACATGCGCACATGCGGCGAGCTTGGGAGGTCATGTCAAGGTCGAGGAGCCTGTCATGTGCATACGCCCATCTTTCATCAGTCCTCCATTCCATGTATCCCCTGCGACCATGACGTGAAACTGGTTTTCGACTATGACAAATGGGTCATGACTATATACTTCTTATCGTAAATCCGTTTATTTTGTTGTTCAATTGTGGTTGAAGATACTTTGACCATACTGTGCAGCAGGAAAATGTGACTGAGAAGGTATAGACAAATAAAGCATTGGTTGAATTCATTTACTTCTTCATGGAACGTTGTCGTTGTAGATGTATCTAGTAAAATAGGTTAGATATTGCGTTGCTTTGCACGTGCAACGGATAATCCATATCTCCATCTTCTGCTGAAGGATCATGGTTGAGAGTCAAATTGACTTGCTTCTCTGAACCATGATGACAGTGACATTGATGAGACGATCTGGCAACAGCAGATTCATCCTTCACTGGATGGGAGCGGTTGACAGCAACATCATTTCCGCTCTCGGCTTCATCTGGTTGCTTCCCGTTCATGGGTTTGAACCACTGGCTCTTCCTGTACGGCCATCGCTCAATCCCTAAATCTCTACACGCTTTTTTCAGGGCAGTTTGAGAAATGTTCTGCAGAGAGCGTCACGAGACATGTTGTCGCAAGAAGAGTTCACTCACAAGCTGCTGAGCCACCGAAGAAAGGGGGTAATGAAACATCTCGGAGATAGATTCGAAAGTCAGCACAACAAGATTCGATTTTCTCGATTCTTGCCCCAATTTCTTACGTGGATAGATTATTGTATGAGCAGTTCCGCGACGCGCAAGACCTTTGAGTGACACAATTGAGTCCGATGAAACCATGTTAGGAAGATTCATATTCGAACTTCGAAGCTTTTTCTGAAATTTTCTTACAAGATGTTTACCAAACTTGTTCAGTTCAGCCTGGCAAGAAAGGTAGTCAAACACCATACAAATATCATGACTAATTATCATGGTCATTTCCAACGGTCACCGAAGGGAGGGAAGGGAGGGGAGGGAGGGAAGGGAGGGAGGGAGGGAGCCCCCAACTATGCATGAAGGAGCATCCGGACGTGGGTA